AGACGCCGCGCCCTCGATACTCAGGAATCACGCTCTCGCTGTGGATTTCCGCACGCTTCAGTTGGGAATCGCGCTGCCGTTCGTGACCTCCTTCGCGACTCATGCAGGGCGGGCAGGGCGGACGCTTCAGCAACCCGCCTGCTCGACCTGGCCGCCTGCGCCCGTTTTCCCGACCCGCCCGTTAGGGTCTACCCGCCCGATCTGCCCGTCTGGCTCTGCCACGTGTTTTCTGCTCTTAGCCCCCCTCCTGCTATTCTATTTGTGCGCCAACCTCCTCCCTCCCCCTTGTCGCTTCCTTCCATCCGTCCTCCCCTCCCCTGCCTTAGGGGCTGCACGAAATACGCGTTGCGGGTGAGAAAGATATACGCCCCCAATAGGGGTACGATCGAAAACGAAGAGGGCGGGTATCAAGGGCTTGGGATATGCGTGTTGAATGGCCCGCGGGCAGATAAGAGCGATCGATCTTAAGCTGAGCTTTGTTGCTGCTGCTGCTGTTGTTGTTGGTGGTGATGATGATGATGATCTTGTTGTTGTTGTTGTTGGTGGTGGTGGTGCTGATGATGACGATGACGAGGAGGAGGATGGAGACGAGGAGGAGAAGGAGGAGGAGGAGGTGGATGAGGAAAATATGGAGGATGAGGAGGAGGATGAGGAGGAGGAAGAGAAGGAGGAAGACAAGGAGGAGGAGGAGGAGGAGGAGGAGGAGGAGGAGGAGGAGGAGGAGGAGGAGGAGGAGAGGATGAGGAGGAGGAGGAAGAGAAGGGGATGCGGAGGAGGCGGAGGAGGAAGACAAGGAGGAGGATGAGGATGAGGAGGAGGAAGAGGCGGATGTCGGGCACAAGGGGGGGCAGGTAGGAAGCATGATGAGGGGGACAGGAGCACGGAGGGGGGTAGGGATGGAGAGGGATGGAGGAGGAGGCGGAGGAGCAGGCGGAGGATGAGGAGGAGGAGGATGATAAGGCGGAGGAGGTGGAGAAGGGGGAGGATGATGTTGATGCTGATGCTGATGCTGATGTGGATGATGATGCAGATGACGATGATGATGCTGCTGATGCTGATGATGATGCTGATGATGCTGATGCTGATGATGATGACGATGATGATGATGATGATGATGATGATGATGATGCTGGTAATGATGATGATGCTGATGATGCTGATGATGATGCTGGTGATGATGATGATGATGATGATGATGATGATGATGATGATGATGATGATGATGATGATGATGATTCTGATGACGCTGATTCTGATGATGAGGAGGAGGTGGTGGAGGAGGAGGAGGAGGAGGGTGAGGAGCAGTAGGGGGAAAAAGGTAGGAGGTTAAGGGGAATGGGGAAGACGGATGAGGAGGAGTGGGAGGAGGAGGAGGAGGAGGAGGAGGAGGAGGAGGAGGAGGAGGAAAGGGATTGGAGGAGGAGGAGGAGGAGGAGGACGACAAGGAGGAGGAGGAGGAGGAGGAGGAGGTGGAGGAGGAGGAGGCAGAGGCAGAGGAAGGTGAGGAAGACGGTAAGGAGCACGAGGGAGGACGAGGCGGAGGCGAACATGGAGGGGTAAACGGAGGAGAACGAGGAGGTGGGAGGAGGCGGATGAGGAGGATGAGGCTGAGGATGAGGATGAGGATGAAGATGAGGATGAGGATGAGGATGCTGAGGAGGTTTGAGGATGAGGAGGAGGAGGAGGAGGAGGACGAGGGGGAGCAGCAGCAAGGAGGAGGGCAGAGGATTATGATGGCGATGATGATGCTGCTGTTGACGCTGCTGCTGATGATGGTTACGATGATAATGCTGATGCTGATGCTGATGACGATGCTGATTATGATGACGATGCTAACCATGATGATGGTGACGATGATGATTACGATGAAGCTGCTTCTGATGCTGCTGCTGACAACGGTGATGATCATGATGGCGATGATGACGATACTGATGCTGTTGATGATGAGGATGCTTGTGACGATGCTAATGATGATGGTGATGATGATGATCATGACGATGCTGATGATGACGATGATGCTATTCATGCTGACTATGCTGCTGCTGATGATGATTCGATTGATGCTGCTCGTGATGATGATGATGGTGGTGTTGGTGATGATGCTGATGATCAGGCTTACGGTCATGATGATGGTGGTTACTGTGATAATGTTGATGCTAGTCATGATGATGCTGCCCATGATGATGATGATGATGATGATGATGATGATGATGATCATGATGATGATGATGATGATGATGATGATGATGATGATGATGGTGACAATGATGACGATCGTCATCATTATGCTGCTGATGACGATTCCGATGATGCTACGGCTGCTGCTGCTGATACTGCTGCCGATGACGAGGACGAATCTGCCGACGATGACGAGCATCATGCTGATGACGGCGGTGATGACGATGACGACTGCGATGTCGGTGATGCCGGAGATGATTATGATGATGCTGTTAATGATGATGATGATGATGATGATGATGATGGTAAGACTGATGATGAT